TGCTCGTCACTCTTAGAGGTTAAAGGGTTAAGCGGAACAACAGAACATCCTGATTAGAATCCTGTGTAAAATGAACAGATACAGATAAGAATGAAGATCACTTTATTGTAATCCTGCTGAGTTCAGCAGCTTTTTTAAAAAGTAGGGAAAAAATGGTTACTTGCCCCTTAGAAAAAATCACCTTCAATCTGTGAGCATTTAATGTCTGCTGAAACAATGATTGTTAAGTTATTTCTCATCATGTATAGAGGGTCACAGAGCAAAGTTTATTGATACAAATGAGTTTGTTAATTATAAAAATCTGATTGTAACGTAATGGTACTTTGTGGCTTTGATAAGATAATTAGTGATCTGAGAAGTGATTTTCAAATATTGATGAAGGGTCATTGTCTGAAAAAGCTCAACCATTTGTGTCAAAATATTTCCTAACCCTCTCACCCATGAAAACAGAAGGGAATTGAATCCTGGAAATTTAACCTTTCTCTCACTCTTTCCCACACACAGGGTGCTTTGGCATAGATGATCCTTTGTGAGGAGGACGCTTTTCACAAACAAACCGTGCACATAGCCATGCCTTCCGACCAATTTCTTGAAATTTCCAGTTTGTGGGACATCTCAGTTCGAAATCTAAAATGATGTGAAAATACTGGCGGAGTCTCATTTTTTAGTTTTTTTTTTTTTATAAGAAAAAAAATAAGTCGGTGTATAGAGTGGTGTTGCCTCCATCACTAAAGATCGTCACATTAGGTTATGTACATGTATCTCTCACCAATCAGATTGCTGCATTAGGGTTTTTATCTCGGACCAATCATATCACAGCATTTGGATATCTTGTACCAATTACAGCGTTGGGGTACTGCTTTCTTGCCAATGATTTCAAGTAAGAAGGGGGCTACGCACAAAGAATGACATCGACCAAACATTTTGGTTTCATTTGGTAAGTGTAATGGTTTGTAGCCTTCGCGAGAGCCTCGTCGATTAAGGTCGAGATTTATTGGGATAAGAAAGGTTAGCAGGTAATTTTTTGTATTATTTCTTAAGTTGAAACGTGTTTTGTTTAGCGCTCCTTTTCTGACGGTGGAATGGCAGTAAGCGTAGTCTTCTTTGCAACCTTTTTATGGTCTCGTTAGTCTGATCACGCTACATGCTCCCTACTCAGTGGGATAGGGAGGGAATGTAAGACCAGACCAAATAAGGGCTGCAAATGAGACAACAGTAAGCGTGAAACCAATGCTAATTATTTTCACTTAGATGTATTCAGACAACAGAGACAGTTGACACTATTTTACGTTCACGAAAAATGTTACAATTTCGGCTACGCAAAGTATCTCACATCAACCCATTGTCCAAAAAAAACTTTTGC